CCTCTGCCTCTGCCTCTGCCTCTGCCTCTGCCTCTGCCTCTGCCTCTCCTTCACCCTCCCCCTTCCCTGACACGGTTTTCTAAATGTCACTATTTCATTGAAGGTTTTCCCTGGTCAGAAATTCCATGCACTGGCCTCTCTGTCCAAGAATGTCCCAATATTGACATGTGGAGCTATCTCCAAGAGGTAATGTTGTATTTGCAGTAGAGCGCATTGATGCCACCTTACTGCTGTTTTCTTTATTCTGCGAACTCGGACATTCCAACAGCGCGTTATGGAATGAGTTTGCGCTGCTGCCAGTCATAAATATAAAAGGTACAGACTGATTACTTTTTAATTGACGGCAGAAACAAATTTCAGCATGCAGCTCGCAACTACCGAGGTCRCAGAATATCGAAAACCGCAGAAACCGAGCAGTTGCGAAAGTGGTACGATCTAACTTTGGTCTCTTTTTTTTCTTTTTTGCTGTAGATTCCTCGTTCCTGGGTGGAGGCTTGGATGGATTTTAGTACACGACAGAAATGGCGCGTTTGAAGACGAGGTGAGATTTTGAGATTATCACACTTTAAGAGCTAGATATCGTTTCTTATTCGAGGTTCCATTTTATATCGCAAATGGCCGTGTCCGCAACGAGAAGCTGATGCCAAGTCCAGGAATTAAGCTCGAGACGCCAGGCCGGCACACCACCCGCACAACCCTCGATTCACTATATCACCCTTGCTTCGATCGTTCATTTTCCCTCTAGTTTGATTACAAGAAGCTACGCTCAAAAAACGATTACGTTTTAGTGAATTTTTGCGTTTATTTTTTCACTTGCTTATAAAGAGAAAAATATAAATATTTCTACAACACTATGCATGTTTATCGGTGCTGTGTTTTCAGGTCAAGCCAGGGTTAGTGTCATTATCACAGCAGATTCTAGGACCCAACACGATTATCCAGGCAGCGCTACCAGATATCTTGGAAAACACTCCACGCAGCTTCTACGAAAACGCCATTAATGTTATGCAGGTAAAGCCATTAACAATAATAAAATAAATGAATAAATGTAGTATTTTGCGTCGTGAAATATGGAAGTTCTTCGCCATATGTCTCCCTAGCCAAAAGTTATAATGTATAAGTATACGACGCACTCATCACTCATTAGAAAACACTACAGCTGTAAGTTTTATAGTAAGACTACATCAACCAAGGCCACCCAAACAAATCTTAATCAAATTCACAATAACATTTTTGACGCTGTATAACAGATGAATAGGGCGTTTGCATGATGGCGTCATTGACCTCTACTACCAGACTCCCTTGCACACTTTCTTTTGTTCAGTTAATTAGCACCAATTGTCTTACTATTCTCATTTAAATAAGAAAGAAAATTCGCGAAGCATTATGGAAGTTGGAGTCAGATGACGCCATCATGCAAACGTCCTATTAGTGAATTCTGGATAGTAAACTGTTTTCTTGTTCACTTCTTATCATACACACACACGTAAAAAGTAAAATATATGATTTTAAAGGGGAAAATTTTAGTTCATATTCTCTTGTCGGTACTATATATATTTTAAAGTTTTCATACATTTGATGAAAAATTCATTCGTTAACAGAAAAACGCCAAGTTGTTATACGAAGACCTGCACAAGATTCCAGAACTAAACCCCATCATGCCTTGCGGCGCCATGTATATGATGGTAAGCTAGACCCTTGAGTCATCCTTGTCCCGCTCAAGCAACGGGATTTTTCAATGAATCAGTAAATCAATAATCAATAATCGTCCTCGTAGGAGGGTAACACTTAATGGCCAGCGGCTAACAAACCCATAAACCTCGTTCCATGATCGAATTGGATTTTACGAGTTGATTTTGCGTAATGAGGAAAAGCGAAGAAGCAGGAGAAAATTCCTCAAAGCACAGGCGAAAAACAACTAGAAACCCTTATATGACACCGAATCTGGATAAGGACAATTCATTCGACGTCAATAACACAGGGAGCAGCAGTAAGGGGGACTCGCGATCGATGCCGTATATTTGCGGGTTTAACCCGCGGAATTCCGAAGGCGGGTACAGCAGATTTACGGGATTCCCCCGGTGTGTCCTTACTGCTGCTGTGTTGGGTAACTCAAACGGAGGTTAAAATATCCTTTATATATAGATGGATACCATCAAAAGCATTAGAAATAAAACTGTGCGC